GGTAAGACACTGGCACAGGTTGCCCAGAGCAGCTGTGGCTGCTCCATCCCTGGGAGTGTTCCAGGCCAGGTTGGATGGGGCTTGGAGCAACCTGAGCTAGTGGAAGGTGTCCCTGCCCATAGTAGGACATGGAATGAGATGGACTTCAAGGCTCCTTCCAACCCAAACCATCCTGTGATGCTTGGAAAGTCACTGAAGCTTCCTGCACACACATTTAACACATGGTTAATTCCTTGCAGGCTCCCAAATGTTAATCAAATCCCATCCCAGAGTACACAGAGCTGAAGGACTTGTCACTCCCCAAATGAAAAATAGGAAGTCACAGCACCTAAATTAGGCTGAGCTGTGACAACTGAAGAGTAACCAAAATAATTCATGAGCCTTCAGTGTTTGTTATCCCTCTCTGGAGGTATTTACAAGCCCTTCTGCTATCAGAGCACTGAGGGAGGAGAAAATAGAGATATCATCCTAACATCCCTGATACAACCCGCAGTGTCACCTCCAATCCATCTGGAAGCAAACACGGCCATGCAAAACAGTGCCAGCTGGGGAAATGAAAGGAGGTACAAAAATGCCTGAGGCTACAGCCTGACCTGCTTTGCACATGCTGCTCCTTCCCTGGGGCAGCCTGAAGGCTCCTCTGTCCTCCTAGCTGCTCAAGGGCAGGTGACCCACCCCATCCAATGGCTGATGTCACTGCCCAACAGAGCCCAAGCAGTGTTTGGACACTTCAAGGCACATGGTGGATTGTTGGGTTGTCCTGTGCAGGGCCAAGAGTTGGACTGGATGATCCTTGTGTCCTCCCCTCCCCCCAACTAGGAGACTCTATGCCTTTTTCAGCTTTTTTTCAGCTAAGTCCAAAAGTTAAGGGAGATCAAAGCACATCTTTAGGCAATGGACAATGGAAAAGGCATAAAGATGCTCTTCTGAGATGTCTCCAGGTAGTACAGTCCCTCATGAGCACCTTGGTGGCACTTCCCTGCTTGGGTAACCTGAGGCTGAAGGTTACACACACAACCCAGAGAAGAATATTATCATTTGGAGATCTTTAGGCAATGATCAATGGGTCAACGGAAAAGGCAAAAAGATGCTCTTCTGAGATATCTCCAGGCAGGAGGGATCCCCATGAGCACCTTGGTTATACCTCCCTGCTTGGGTGTTGTCAGATGAGGAAAACTGATCTCATACCCACAGGACCAATCTGATGCTGAAGGTTGCACACAACCCACAGGACAAACCTGGGGCTGAAGGTTGCACACACAACCCATGGGAGAAACCTGAAGCTGAAGGTTGTGCACAACCCTCAGGAGAAGATTATCATTTGGAGATCTTTAGGCAATAGTCAATGGAAAAGGCAAAAAGATGCACTTCTGAGACATCTCCAGGCAGGAAACACATGATGAACACCTTGGCTGACATCCCTTTCCAGGGGCTATCAGATGAGGAAAACCCTCCTGACCCACAGCCCATGCTGTGGGATGAGCCCAGGACACAGATGGTTTCTGGGCTGCAGAGCTGTCTCCCTCAGTGGTACAAGTCTCTCACACCATGTGTGATGAAGTGTTCACATACAGCTCCATTTTAGGCTTCTTTTCCCACCTTGAAAACAGCAACCTAATTATGAAATAAATGTTAATTCTTTGCCAGTTGTGGAAGTGCTAACTCAGCTTGGCATTTGCAAGCCCCAAAGAGTTGTTTTGCTGAAGAAACTACTGAACTAACAAAACTGAGTCTGGGTTAGCATTTACACCACTGGTAGAGGTGGAAGGAGCAAATGCTCTGTGATTTCTTAATGTGTTTGGTGCCTCAACATCTATTTCTGCTTAATGTTCCACTTTCAGCAGGCAGCAAGGGAAAAGTGCTTATTGCCCTAAGTATGGGATCTACAGCACATTCCAGTGCCTAAAGGGGCTCCAAGAGAGCTGCAGATGGACTTGGGACAAGGGATGGAGGGATGTGACACAGGGAATGGTTTCCCACTGTGAGAGGGCAGGGCTAGATGGGATATTGGAAAGGAATTGTTGGCTGTGAGGGTGTTGAGGCACCAGCACAGGTTGCCCAGAGCACCTGGAAGTGTTCCAGGCCAGGTTGGATGGGGCTTGGAGCAACCTGGGCTAGTGGAAGGTGTCCCTGCCCATGGCAGGGCTTGAACAAGATGGTGTTTAAGGTCTTTTCCAACCCAAACCATTCCAATATTCCATGATCTTACCCAGAGAATGGCAAATCTGTCCCACTGGCTGTGCTGGTTGGGTATGGCACAGGAGATCTCTCTCTAGCTGCTGCTACTTAGTTGTAACTTCATATTCAAGGCCCCAAATGGTTGAGTTCATTTTTCTTCTTTCATTATTTCACTCATTTAAGAAACTTCCCTGACTTTTCTCCAGCTGAAATTGTTGCCCTGTCATGCACTTGCCTTTCCTGAGCCTCTCTCCTTCCCTTGGGAAAGCCACAGGTTGTTCCTAGGGAAGCAGCACTAATACACCCTTTGATCCAAGAGGATGAACCAGTTGGCAACTGCCACAGCAAGAAACTCCGACATGAGCTGAGCTTTTGTAGTTTGCAAATGGCAGAGCAAACAATGCTGACACACACACAACCAGGCAATATATTATGGAAATCATTCCCAGGCAGTGGAGAAGAGAGAAGTGGATAGGCACGACAAGCAGAGCATTTCAGCCCTAATTAGTTGCTAATAACCTCAATAAACTATTTTTATTTCTGAGTTTTCAGCAGTTTCTCATTCCTCTAACTGAACAAAGTTTAGTAGGAAAGTCATGCTAACTTTCCTCTGTCCTTTGTTATGGTTAGTGTTGCAATAACATCTGCAAGCGGTGGAGAACCTCAAACCTTGGGCCGTAAACTTAATTCATGGGCCAGGAAGAACCTCCATGCACATGGATATTTCCAGAATCAACTCATTTTGGGGGCTGTTGCTGGTTGGGTTGGTTTTCTGCAGGCTGAGGGTTAACAGCATTGGTCTTTTGGTGAGAGACTGGCACAGGTTGCCCAGGGAGGCTGTGGCTGCCCCAACCTTGGCAGTGTTCACAGCCAGGTTGGCTAAAGCCTTGAGCAACCTGCTCTGGTGGGAGGTGTCCCTGCCCAGGGCAGAGGGTTGGCACTGGATCATCCCTAAGCTCCATTCCAATCCCTAAAATTCTATGATACATGAAATAATGAGTGTTAAAGACAAGATATAACTGGGATAGCTCATCCCCTGTCCTGGTTTGCTCCAGCCAACTCTAACCTCCCAGAACTGAGCAGAACACATACCTCAGCTAAGTGCTTTTCCACAGATCTCAATGCAAGGAGTTCAGAGAAGGGTTAGGACTCAGCAAACTACAGGGAAAAAGTTGAGGGAGTTTCTAGTTCTGAAGTGAAGGCAAAAGTCTCTTTGCTCCTCTTTTCCCTTTCCCAAACCCAAACCTCTTCATGTCTCTTAAGCCATTGAAGGCAGACATCAAATTCATCAGTAATAGCTCTGAGACCTCACAGCAAACTCTCCACAACTCTTAACTACAATCTGGTGTTGAATGACAATGTCCTACCCCACTCTCCAGTACTCCACAGCCTCCACAGCCTCCACATTTGCTTCTGGCACCACCAAAGTCAGCAGAAAATGGGATTTTATAATGTCTTTTCAGGGTTTAGATCATTAACCAACCTGTGTGTGTCAACCCCTAAGCTCACCTGGCACTGGAATAAACAGAGATCTCTCTACAGTTAACCTGTGGAGATTGGAATGTCTAATTCCTGTCACCTCAAAAGAGGTGACAACCTTCTTCCATAGCTGGAAAACAGCCCCAAAAATCCAACCACAGGTGCTACAAGAGGTCTGATGGCTGCAGGGATGTGCAGCTGGAGAGCAGTGGGGACAGGGAGCAGCATGGGCTCATGATGAGGTAGTGGATGTAATTTGGGAGGTAGCAGATGCTCCAACCCTAGCAGTGTTTAAAACCAGGCTGGCTAAAGCCTTGAGCAACCTGCTCTGGTGGGAGGTGTCCCTGCCCAGGGCAGGGGGTTGGGGCTGGATGAGCTCTAAGCTCCATTCCAACCCCTTAACTATCTATGACCATTTTGATGCATTAAAGGAGAACTTAGGGTGGATCAGGGTGGAGGTGGGAGGACAGGACTGAACCTGCTGAATGCAAATAGACCTTAGTTGAGCTGCTGAAATGCATCTGCTGACTTTGAACATGTAATTAATGAGGGAAGCAGAGGCTGGGTGTGAGGAGTTTGAGGACAAAGATTGTTTCATCTTTGGGTGTTTGATCACATCAGAGTTCTTTGGGGGCTCTTTGGAGCAAGGCTGGCACTTTGCTGAGCCTCACAGTACACTTAGAGACTGATTTGCACATTTGCTGCTCATTCTAGAATCTGCAGATCCTCTGAAGATTGGTCCAAGCTTGTGATTGCTTTGCAATTTGTCACATGTATTGTAACACAGCAAAGCTCAGGCACAGAAGTGATGGAGCAGAGCAACGACAGGAGTGGAAATGTGGCTTGTTCTCTGCTGTTTGGTATTTGAAATGGATTATGTCAGGGGAACATTCCTGCAGTCTCAGGAGCTTTCTCTTCCCCAGGCTGAACGCTCCCAGCACCAGCTCTTCCCTGGACAGCCACTTCCCATGCTTCACAACCCTTTCCATGGGGAAACAACTCAGGGAGAAAAGGATTTTCTATGAGGAAAGGGCTCACAAAGGAAAGGACTCATGAGCAAAGGACAGGACTCAGGGAAGAAAGGGCTCATGATGGAAGAAAAGAACATTCCATGAGGAAAGGATTCATGAGGAAAGAACTTTTCATGAGCAAAGAATTCATGAGCAAACAACTCATGAGGAAAGGACTCATGAGGAAAGGATTCATGAAGTAAAGGACTTATGAGGAAAGAGCTCATGAGGAAAGGACCCATGGAAGAAACGACTTATGAGGAAAGAACTCATGGAGGAAAAGACTCATGATGGAAGGACTCATGGAGGAAAGGACTTTCCATGAGGACAGGTGAGCTAACTGTGAGCACATGCTGCTGCCTGCCTGTTTCCCTTCCATGCCAAGCCAGAGTTGAGGCCAAGCCTTGCTAAAAAAAGCCCCACCTTCTCAGCCTTTCAGCAGCATTTCATTTTGCTTCTGTCACCAGGCCCTGAGCTTCACGGTTTGGTACAGCCTCAACTCACAGCAGCTCTCAGAACAATTAACATGTCAAGCAGCTTCTCCTAAAGCATCTCCAAACTTTTTAATATCAAGCAATTATTTGGCACTTACAAGCCCAAATTTTCCATTTAAATGCAAATTCTGGGGGGAGACTTGAGGCTTTTGTCTCTACTTTTAGAACTGCTGCTAATTTTGAAGGCAAAAGGCTTTGTTATTCCATGTGGCAGGTGCCTGCTTTTACCTGGGCTCTACTTAATTAGCTCCTCATTCTTTCACTGCTCTTCTTCTGAGGGAAAGGGAGGGGAAGAATGTCTTTGTAATGAACATTTCAGTTTACAAGTTGCTCAGAATCTGAACCATTAAGTGGATGAAGCCAAGATCAAAGCAGGTGAAACACAGCATGGGCTTCTCTTTCAACTGCTTTTAGAAGGGAATATTCCAGAGAAATAAGCAGCAGCACAACAGGAAAAACACTGGGGTGTGGAACTAGATGGGCTTTAAGGTCATTTCCAACCCAAACCACTCCATGGTTCCATACAGCTTCAGCAAAACGTTGAGGTGGGAAGTGACCTCAGGAGGTTCCTAACCCAATTTCTGCCTCAAAGGTGGCCTGGTGTGAGCTCACACCTGGTTGTTCAGGGCTTGAAGACCTCCAGGAATGGAGACTGCACAACCTTCTGCCTCTGGTTCCCTGCTTAGGAGAACCAGGAGTCACCCCAGTGGTGTCACACCAGTATAAAGCTGATTTGGGTACAGCAACTACTGTGTCCTTCACCTGAATAGCCTGAGCTGGAAGGCCCACAAAGATCAGAGTCCAATTCCTGCTCTGCCCACGGCATGTCAACAACCCACCCTGTGCCTGAGAGCACTGGCTAAACACTCCTGGAGCTCTGTGAGGCTTGGGGCTGTGACCACTGCCCTGGGGAGCTGCTCCAGTGCCCAAACACCCTTGGGAGAAGAACCTTTTCCTCATATCCAACTTAGCCCTCCCCTGACCTTGGGTCCTGTCACTGTTTGCCAGTGCTGTCCCTCCACTTCCCCTCACTGGGAAGTTGTATCAATGTATTCCCATTGCCTTACAACAACATTTGTTTCCCCTACCATGGAAAACTTGGAAAAGAGACATTCTACAAGCAAGCACAGCAATAAATACACACATCAGGCTGGAGGTTGTTGGGAACTCTGTTTATTCAGAGGGAAGTGTGATTTCCTACTTGAGAGAGCTTATTCTTTGCTAATAGAGGGATAAAACCATCAAGTTTTACTAGAAAGAGAGGAGTCAATATTCCCTTTGAGCTTCCTCTGCTTTCTAATGGTCTTGTCTTGAAATCTGTTGTGAGAAGCTCTTCATATCAGCAGCCTGAGAGCAGGATGTGAAGATGCCACTGATGAGAACAGCCACCAAGCCTCCAGTGCTGCAGCCTGGCAATCATTAACAGAGCTCATTAATCTACACAAATCACTTGGAAGGAAACTATCCTCATTAGAATTGGGGAACAGCAAGGACAGATCAGCTCCTTCTCCTCTGCTTTGACCCCAGACACCTCAATGGACACCAAGGCTTTTGATGGGATGAAATGCTCTGGAGTAACTCTTGAGTTAAGCTGATAATGACACTCTAAATCAGCTGTATTCTGTGCTCATCCAACCCAGCTTTTGGTTTGTCACAAGGACTCACAATTCCTATGAAATTATTCAGGCCAAAAGAGGAAAAATAATACAAATCAATGAAAAATAAGAGGGTTATTATTAAATGAGTTTCTGGCCACAATGGAAGCTTTGGACTGGGGTTGACTTCTACACAGCATCATAGATTATTAAGGGGTTGGAATGGACCTTAAAGCTCATCCAGTGCCAACCCCCTGCCCAGTGCAGGGACACCTCCCACAAGAGCAGGTTGCTTAAGGCTTTAGCCAACCTGGCTTTGAACACTGCCAGGGTTGGGGCAGCCACAGCCTCCCTGGGCAACCTGTGCCAGTGTCTCACCACCCTCACAGGGAAAACTTCTGCCTAATATCTCAACTTCTTCCTAATATCTAATCAATAGTCAATACCTCAATAGTTTTCCAACTCAACTTACCTCTTACAATGATGTTGGTGGACTTCTTAGCAGGATTCCCAACGTTGTTGTTGGCAATGCAGCTGTAGGTACCAGCATCTTCTGAGGTGATGGCAGGTATGGTCAGGGTGCCACCATTCAGGACTGTCTTGTTGGGCAGGACACCAGCAGACCTCACCCACGTCAGGCTGGGGGCTGGTTCCCCTCCTGTTGTCACACAGACCAAGGTGATGGCTTCTCCAGGGTTCACCACGATGGGGTCATCCACCAGAAGCTTAATTGAAGGGGATGCTGCAAAACACAAGAGCAATCATGGAATAGTTTTGGTTGGAAGGGACATTAAAGACCATTACATCCCACCTCCTGCCATGGGCAGGGAACCTTCCACCAGCCCAGGTTAATCCAAACCCCATCCAACCTGGCCTAGAATACTTTCAGGGACAGAACAGCCACAGTTTCTCTGGGCAACCTGTGCCAGTGTCTCACCACCCTCACAGCAAAGAACTCCTTCCCAACATCCCACCTAGTCCTGCTCTCTGTCAGTTTTAAGCCATTCCTCCTTGTCCTGTTCCTCCAGACCCTTGTTCTAAGACCTTCTACAGCTCATTGAGAAAAGGACCTATTTCACAGAATCCCAGACTGGTTTTGGTTGGAAGCACCTTAAAGGTCATATCATTCCATCCCTGCCATGGGCAGAGACACCTTCCATCGGCTCAGGTTGTTCCAAGACCCGTAAAACCTGGCCTGGAACACTTCCAGGGATGGAGCAGCCACAGCTGCTCTGGGAAACAGAGGCAGATAGGGATTGATGTATTGACAGTGCTGCAGCCATGCTTGGGAAGCAATGGATGATGGATGGATAGTGCCAGCACATGGGATTTTATACCCTGGAAGAAAGGAGTAGAAAACATCTTTGGCATGGAATGTGTGTTGCTCTTTCCAAGTCAGACCTCACCCACTGAAAAGCAGCCTCAAATCCACCTGCCTCATAGTTTCAGAGTATGTTAAGGGGTTGGAATGGAGTTAGAGATCATCCAGTGCCAACCCTCTGCCCTGGGCAGGGACACCTCCCACCAGAGCAGGTTGCTCAAGGCTTTAGCCAACCTGGCTGTGAACACTGCCAGGGTTGGGGCAGCCACAGCCTCCATGTGATATGAGAGGAGCAACAGCAATGCTAAAGGGACAGGACAGGACAATTCATGTTAGACTATTAATATGCCTGTAAAATCCCACTCTGAGCTGTGACATCTCATGTCATTTGCATTGAGGGCTCCACCCTTGCTGGTTCAGGCTTTGCTCGAAGGCAGAGTCTAACCTGCCAAAGTGCTGAGCCAATATAGACATATACATTGCTCATTCAGGGACAGCAGCAATCCCAAACAAACCCAGGCAGAAAGGTGAAGGATTGACATTGTGGGCAAAGAACACTAGCAAAAAAATGTGCTAATAAACCAGGAAAAGAAATCAAAATGTTCCATTCAGAAATCACATCACTCTCCTCATTATTACAGAGAGACTCCCTTGGGCTCTGCCTTAGATAGGAAGCTTATTTCAATATTAAAGGAATATACACTAATCACTAGAGGCAAAGACAAGAGGCAACTAAAAAAATCAGAGTTTGCTTTAGTTGGCTTCACCCAGGAGGAATTTGCTTTCTCTTCTTTCAGAAGCTGAAGCACATATGAGAAGAGTTTCATTTACACCTGGTCTGGCACAGAGAATAGGAAACCTCAGCTAGGAATCATAGAGTCCCAGAACATCTGAGTTGGAAGGGACTCTCAAGGACCATCAATCCAACTCCTGCACTACACAGGACACCCCAACAATCCATGAGTAGATTCCAACAGTGGGAAGCTATTCTCCTTGTCCTGTCCTTCCAGGCCCTTGTCCCAAGTCCCTCTGCATCTCTCTTGGAGCCACTTTAGGCACTGGAATGGAATCTAAGGTCTAATTGGAACTTCTGTCCCCCAGGCTGGAAATCGCTGGCTCTCCCAGCCTGGCTCCATGGCAGAACTGTTCCAGCTCTTGGAGCATCTCTGTGGCCTCTGGACTTCCTCCAGCAGCTCCACATCATTCCTGTGCTGAGGGATCCCAGACCCGGAGGCAGCACTGCAGATCTCACAAGAGTGGAGCAGAGAGCATGGAGGGCTTCTCCAGGTCTGTTTTACATGCTATCTCCTCTCTTTCACTCCATCAAGGAATTTTTACCCCTCCTAAACCAGAGGAACACCTCTAACTGCTCCCACAGATGCTGCAGCAATGTAGCTGCAAACAGTCTCCCCCCAGACTAGGAACACAAAGCTGTGGCAGAACAGGAGTAAGGAAAGCACAAGGACAAAGATCCATGGAGCAATAAGGACAGTAATCCCCAGCCTGGGCTGCTCTGGGTTGCTGTAAAATCTCCCTTCCAGATTGTCTGAGCAAATACCTGTTAGACAAAGAGTTTAGGAGTGTCCAAGGCAGGGAAATGGAGCTCATTATCATGTCAGATCTCTCCTTCTCTGGATTCAATGACAGCAAGAGCTACTGCCACAAGGCAACTCCTTATCTACCTCCAGTTATCTCCTTACAGAATCTTCCCCTGTGGTATCCATCCCTCTGCTGCCAGCAGACATAGCCTAAAGATTAGTTAATCTAGCCAGATAAGATTTAGATGGTAGATATGTGACATCAATCCTTCCTTTTGGATGAGCATTTACACATTCATCAGGATGGGAATGGGCAGAAAGTGCCATTTGTAACCATACACATGTACAACCTCCCATTGATACCAATGTTCTGCAAATCCTTAGATCCTTGTGCTTACACAAAGCTCAAACTTGGGCCTAATCCTCCATCTGAAATGGATTTCCACACTCTTGGTAAACTTTGGGGGCTAAACAGCACAACCAGCACAAGTCTGAAGTGTATCATTCAACTCCACATGGGTTTTCTGGCCCAGCATGATTAGAAACTGGAGGAAGCATTTGTAAAGATGCCAAAATGATCCAAAGCAATTAGAATAGTTGATGATTATACCAAAATGTTGTTGAAGGATTATTAAATCTCAAGCTCCAGGGCAGAAAATGGAACTTCTTCTGCCACAGGAGGCGAAGCTAGCACAGATACGTCTCTGCACACTTTGTCTGCTCTCTGCTGGAATAGCTCCTGCTGGGACATGTTAAGGATGGACATGACATGTCATCCAAAAGGACAATTCATGTGTTTATCCAGCATTTCCATTTGTAAAGCATGATTGAACCCCAACTAGGAGACCCACAACACGGTCCCAGCAGTTCAAGCTGTGATGTCATGGAATGGTTTGGGTTGGAAGGGACCTTAAAGCTCATGCAGTTCTATCCCCTGCCATGGGGACAGAGAACCATAGAATTTTAGGGGCTGGAATGGACCTTACAGATCATCTAGTCCCAACCCCCTGCCATGGGCAGGGACACCTCCTCACGAGATGAGGATGCTCAGGGCCTCATCCAGCCTGGCTTTGAACATCAACAGGGTTGGAGCAGACAACACTTCCCTCAGCAACATGTTACAGTGTCTCACCATCCTTCAGATACTGAAAAGTTGCTAGCCCCAACTTCCTCAGCCTGTCTTCATAGGGGAGAACATCTTCCACTAGCCCAGGTTACTCCAAGGCACATCCAACCTGGCTTGGAATACTTCCAGGAATGGAAAAGTCGCAGCTGCTCTGGGCAACCTGTGCCAGTGCCTCAGCACCCTCACAGCCAACAATTCCTTCCCAATATCCCATATAACCCTATACAACTATTCCCTGTGTCCTGTCCCCCCATGCCTTGTCTCAAGTGCCTCTGCAGCTCTCTTGGAGCTCCTTTAGGCACTGGAAGGGGCTCTAAGGTTTTCCTGGAGCTTCTCTTCTCCAGGCTGAACACCTCCAGCAATTCCAGGCTTTCTCCCATCCTCTCTGGGCATTTTCTCTTTCC